TCTGATATGGTTTAAGAAAATGTTTTCTGCTTTGCTTGAGTCTTTCAAGTTGCATTGTCAGACTTCCTCCTGTAAAATGTTTTAGAGAAGATATCACAAGTTAGGAGCAAAAAATGCAGATTTGGAAGTTTTTAGCTTAATTTTATGTTCAATGAACTTCTTGCAATAAATGGGAAACTGTGAGGAGACAAAATAAATCTGTTTGGAGTCTTTTCATGCATTATTGCCTTTTTGTAAATAAAGCACTGAAGCAGCTACCTGAGTCTTCCACCTTGAGATTTCCACAAGTGCACCTGCGGTTTCTACCTGAGAGGGTAAAAGCTTTCTGCTTATGCTCTTCTCTGTGCCTTTTGCAAGTGTCACTGTACCTGTGGTGGTTTCAGATGGTTTTCTCTTCCCTTACAGAGTCTTACGGTCATCTTTCCAGTTAACATACAACAATCTCTTGTGCTGACTGCTGAACTCTGATCTTTGGCTGGATGCGTGCTTGTTTCTTTAAGCATTTGGTACAGAGTAGACCTGGAGCTGGGTAATTTGTAAAGGCAGGGCATTATTATTATTATTGCTACTTGAAAGGATCCATACTATTTTGCACAGCAGTGTGGTCACCTGGCAGCAGGTCATTAGCATTTTAGGTTCCTTTCCTTCACAACAATATACAACATGCTAATTAGAGGATTTTGAAAGCTAAGCAACATGTTTTAAAATCAGACATTTTAATTTGCAGCTTTAATGGCTGTGTTATAATAACTGGCTTGACTCGAGGGAGAAGGGGAGAGAAGCACTTCTCATGTTCCAGTGGCAAGGCCCAATATAACGGAGGCTGACAAAATTAAAAACCTTATAATGTGACCTTTGCCTGGGATAAAAGGCTGTTTCATAACAATTTCCTTTTGTTCTTTGTTTAAGCCATTACTCCAAAAGGAGCCTCCGATTAATCTAAGTAAATGCATCATTACAGTCCTAATCCATGTCCTTCTGTCAGTGTCTGTTTTAATTAAATAAGAAACACTAGCAGAAAGATATCACGCACAAAGCTGTGATTGGAGAAAGAGGGCTGTTTGATCAGAGCGAGATTAAAAAAGGCTTTACTGGTTTGTCCTTTTGCTCTAGATGCCATAATGTAGGTTAAAGGAAGAAAACTTCTCTAATAGTTCAGCACATTGCTTCCCATTACAGTATTAAAATAACCAGATTTACCAATGAAACTGTCCCAGTCATCCAATTAATTATGTACAGAACATTCACAGGCAAATGGCACAGCATCATGGTTTGAATGGCTTATCACCTTAATATATTTGGAACTGTGTGCGCAGTTGCTCAGAAATTGTAGTCAAGTGCAATTTTTTTTTTTTTATATTAAAGCATTGAGGAAGGCTAATTATAAATTTATGTACTTTTTTTTTTTGTCCTACTGACTTGTGGCTTACAGATTGTAAGAGCGATCTATTGCAATCCTCTTCTTTTTTTTTAGAAAAAATATTTTTATTTCTCACAAAAACAGGATCATTACTTTAAAGCAATGAAGAATCTATTTAATCAACGTTGCAACATCTAGCTCGTTAATATTGCTAAAGCAATACATATGTAAGAGACTCTTCCTCAAGGTAGTGTTTCAAGATCCCTGTTGTGAGGGTTTTCTCCCATATCCAGGCCATTATTTGATGTAATGAAAAGAGAAAGTGTGCAACACAGAGATTGTTAATTAATTTAGCCTAACAAGATGAAGATAAATGAAGCAAAGCATGGATTGAATGAAGCAAGAGGTCTTATTTACAATTTAATACTTCTTTATATTAGGCATTTTTCAATTTACGAGAGAAAAGATCCTGAGTTTAAAGAAAAACGTGCACTGTGAGTGCATGCAAGACAACTCTATGTGAGCAGTTCTATGAACTGCTGAAAATGCCATTTGGATTAACCTTTAACTTTTAAGTTTTCTTTTTCTTTTTTTTTTCCTCTCCCTTTTCCCCTTTTTTGTGGTTTCATTTAGGTTTACAGTATGTTGGCACGAATAATAAAAAATTAAAACCTAAAGTTTTTCCCATTGAAATAAATAGCAAAGTTCCCATGGGTACTTGTTGCTAGCCTAAATTCGGTTGTTTCTGGTTGTTTATGTTAACCTAGAGACATGGGCTATTTTTGAGCCATTTATATATAGGAGAATGCATTAAGAGAGGTAGCTATAAAACAAGCAAACAACAACAACAAAAATACACTGTCACAGTTTTAATTTCTGTTCCAAAGTGTAAATCTATTATTGCTTATACAGTATTACTTAAAAGGAGTATGTAATACAATTATTTTTTTAAAATTTGGGATATATTTTTTTCCAGATCGTGTATATCTTAAATAGTTCATAAACAACTGTATGTTTCATTTCCTCAACAATTAATGCAGAAAAAAATCTGTAGATATCTTTTCTTCCCAGTCCCAATTTGAAATATAGATTAGATTTTCCTAAGCTAACAGTAAATTACCATTTACATCAGCTGAGTCACTACCATTTCAAGGTGTATTTATTATTCAGTTTCCCAATGTCTAAGCTGAGGAAATAATTTCATAAAATGCATGGAAAAAACTCCAGTCAGTCATTTTTAATAACCAATCAAACAAAAGAAGTCATATGTTGTGACTAACATTAACACTTTTATACGTTTTATCTATACCTCAAATGCTAAACTATGACCAAAAATTATAGTTTCTGCTTTTTCTTCTTTCTTCTTCTTCTTCTTTTTTTTATGTAATAAATCATCTTCCTTTTTAGAGATGAATTGGATCTGTCCAGTATGTGACCTTCTGTCATTATTTCTGTCTGGAAAGGAAATGCCTTCCTTCCTTTTACAGTATCCAGACAGGACAGTGTTATCTAGTGTCACTGCAAGCATTGGTCTCTACAAATAGCATTATTATGATCCTTCTGTTTTTGTCTTGGGGGTCATGAACAAACCCATGCAACTGCTTCTAAGGATTTCAATAAATAGGACTTTTTATCCAGACAATTGCCTTTTATATTACTTTTAAACAAAACTACTAGTCCATCAAGAGTTTCAAAAGGAAAACAATTCTACAGAGTGCTGGTATGGCAGCACAGACCAATCATTATGGCACCCATTCTCCAGTCCTTTATTTTTCAAGTCCACAACAATAGGTTGTTGATTCAATGGACAAGACCAGAACAATTAAGTTCTCTGTTTAGCAGCAGTGCAGCATTTTAATGCCCTCCTCTAATAATGGTCTCATTATTGTTATTCTAAGACTGGGCCTCAGGAGGAGGAATATTTGCTGGAGGTACGTCATTATTTTGCAAATTTCGATTAGCTCATCATGTTGTCTATACTGTGAAAATCGTAGCTAATTAAGGCAGTCAGTTAGACTACCAGCTTTTGAGCTTATGAGTTAAAAGGTAGCACACTTGATAGGCCAGTGATGTGAAAAAGGTGGTAAAAAGGGGGATTAGAGCTGTTGCCTTAGTAACTCTAACTTCCATCTGTGAGGGAACAATGGACCTGTGTTTCTCCTCCACCTTGGTGTAAAAATTGGTTTTGTTTGGAAAGGACAGGGCTTTTTATGACAATCTGGAATTCAGCCTAACTGAGTGTAGTTTTAGTTGTTAGGAGAGCCCATTGAAGGCTAGGAGAGATGAAAGGTCATGGCGAGCTTCAAGGACATGAAAGGTCATTGTCTCTTGGAACAATGGGGGATTGTTCTGCCCCATTATTTCTAGCCAACCACGAAGTCAGGTGATGGAAGAGATACCACCAGCTTAGTCAGGTGAAACAGGAGAGGAAGATAATGCCCCTTCTGAAGAACAAAAGATAGCTATGATTTGCCTTTATTAAACAAAGTTGCACTTATTTGTGACCATCCTCTGAAAAGGGTTGTTTACTGACTTACTATTTCAGCCTGCTTTGTTCAGCACAGCCTCTGTAGGCCATCACATCTCTGGGAAGCAATCCAATGTGTTAGGAAATGTTGTTTAAGCTTTCTTCCCATGAAGAGGAGCCCCCAGGAGTACCACTGATGCGATACTTAACAATAAATTTAGTTGTTGTAGCTTTCTCACATTATTGGTGCTCCTAAAAGGTTTTCCTTCAAACGCACACAGAATAAAATTAACTATAAATATGAAATAAATTTCCTTCAACACTTTATAGCATCTTATCATAAATTCTACAGCAAATATCAGAGAAAGTTTACAGCAAACTGCATTAGTTGCTGCAGTAGAGAGAGCAGAGACCTACAGTTGTGTTAAAACAGATTTGCTATTGGACTTCTCTTACATAAAGGGAAATAGCTAAAGTCTCTTCTGTGCTCAGCAGTAACTTTAGGTGACTATGTCCTTGTATTTAAGGGAGAAACAAAAATTCTGCAATATTATTTAATAAAACACAGCGTAAGTTTAATAAAACACAATTTATGAGGAAAGCATTTCTGTTAGTAGACAAAACTATCATCTCTTATATTTTTTCCCGTAGCATCCAAAAACCCCAAGTAATTGTTAAAAAAAAAAAAAAAAAAAAAGGAAAAAAAAAAAGGAATGAAAAGCAGGACTTTTCTTATGATTTCTCAGTTTTACAGAATGATGTCTTAGACAACCACAAAACAAGTTTTTGTCTTCCCTCTGTCCACACACAAAGCACATCCCAAGGTCCATCTTTTGTCTCCAAAATAAAGACCAGTTTCTTCAGGTCTAGATTTCCAGATTGCTTCACCTTTTTCTACTAGATCTCTAATACCATTTCCTGGCTTTCTTTTTATAATCTCTTTACTTCTACAGCAGAGCTGCCAAAATGCACTGAATTCTTATGAAACTGATAAAATGTGTGTATAATTCACTCCTATTATTTTGGAAAAATAAACTATATGTAATTATTAGGTATCCCATCTTAAACGGTGCTGACCTTGTTTGAACTCCCCTTTTTAGCTATTCTGGGCCTCTCTTATCTCAGTTCTACTCCCAGCCACTCTTGCTCTTGCTTTCTGACAACACAGATGGACGGCCTTGCACGAACTGATAAGTGTGGTAATTTTTCAGCACAGTATTCAATAATAAAAAATGTTATTTTCAGAGTTCAGCAGATGTGTCATATTTACACGTACGCTGAAGAGGCGAGTAGCTATTTGGGAGCATGCTGTCTTTTGAGCCAGTGGACTTACCAGCTTTCAGCTTGTGGATGCTTTGGTTTACTTAGCTCCTAGGTTTAGTAAGTAGGGCCTCTAAGGAAAAGAAAATCTTAGTTTAAATATTTATAAGTTTTTAGCTTTTTGAAATAATCTAGTCTTAAGCTTCCTCTTTAGAACTGTATTTATTATGTGTGCTTACTTTCAAATATTTTGTTACTTTCATATTAAAATGAACTGCACAGTGTAGGCTGCTGAATGCAAAATGGGAGCTATACAAAGGGTTAACCAGAAGAGAATTACAAATGAACTATCAGGAAAGTTGATTATTAATCCAGCAAGAGAGAAAATATCCTTCCAGTTAGCAAGAATTAGTACCTGAAGAGCTGATAATATTGTTCGGACTGTCGGTGTGGAATGGCAAAGCCAGGTAAGCCAGACATCTTCTCAAAGAAATAAAATCTTTTATTTGCTTTTCACTGAAGAATTTAGATTTTAAAGAATCTTAGTTGATTTACTTAAGCTGTCAGCAGATGAAACAGCATGTGTTGATCCTCAATTTCCTCAAATGAATGAAATCAAATTGTGCTTTAATGTTGCTAAGAAGTACTATGAACTATGGAGCATATTTAACTGTGAAATATCTTAACAGTTTTTTATTGTCTTGTGGCTAAGTGTGAGAACTGATCACAAAACCTGAAGAGTTCTTTGCAACAGCAAACAAATGTACTTTGTAATTCTTTCTTTCTTTGTTCTTGAACATATTGTGGAAGTTTATGGAAGCTTTTATGTTGCAGAGCTTTTTCAGGGTTATTAGACTTCAGTTTTCACATAGTATGAATGACATATTCAAATTTGTTTGGAAATGCTGCAAACATGTTTGTTTTCATTATATTTTTTATATTTCAAAATATTTTTTATATATTTCTTTTTTCTTTTTTTTTTTTTTTTTTTTTTTTCGTGGGGCTTCAAAATCTATGATCTTGAGTTAGAAGAAAATGGATGTTTGGTAAACGTGCCACCATGTTTATATAGAGAATTGCAAATCAAAACATTAGATCAATTGGACATAATCTTCTAATTTTACTGATTTCACTGAAGTCTCTTAACTCTGTCGTGGGAAAACTTTGAAATTTGCCTTCTATATTTATATTGATTATATTAGTCAATAGGTAGTGTGAGCACTTATATTTGCAACAGCCTTCAACATTTTGTTTACTATATATGTAAAATGTTGTAAATAGTAGCAGCTAAATACCGTAGAACTTGGAAAGTGTTTACAGTGTTGTGTGATTTTTTTTCCTAAGTTGGATGCTGTCACTTGAATTAGTAGCATTTAAAAAAATTCTGATTTGCTTGTAGAATGGTATTAAATATGCGTGTAGTGTTGCTAGAATATCTGCTGTGGTGAAAGAGAGTTCGTAATTCTCAGGTTTTAACTTATTTCTATGTAATAGCCTGAAAGCTGCCTGACTGAGATTGTGGTGTTATAAGAATTTAAAAAGAAAAACAACAGATTAAAAGCAAAGCGACCAAAGTCTGGAGGCTGAGCTCCTGTAGCAATTTAGTTCGACATGGAAACCTTTCATGAGCCACATAGAAAAGAAGAAATTTTTTTGATACGGCCTAGGGCAAAGGCGAAAGGGAAAGAAGGGAGGAACAGGCAGTGAGGAAAGTGAAAAGGGAAGTGACATTGGTTGACAGGCCTCGCTGTTTTACCTGTGACTTTGGCCTACTTAGCAGAGGCAGCTGGTGTCCAGCTTCTCTGAAGTGTGGCTCATCGAATTTGAGTAAAGAGAAATCCCAGAATTTCTGAGGAGGAAGTTGGCAGGGCAACAGATAGAGTTGTTTTGGAAGCTCTGCTAAACATTCTGATATTGGGTAGCAAATAACTTGTGGCACATTTTATCCTTGTATTTTTAGAAGAAGGACATCACAAATAAGCTGCTTTGTCTGACTTTGAACACTAAAACCTAGGGAATATATAAAGAGCAAGAAAACCAATGATGCAGAATTATCAACACAGGAAATGATATACGTGGAAAAACAAGATTGTAATTAGTGGAGGAAAGTAAGAAACTGATTAGAGGAATGAAGTTTCCCAGATGTTTAAGGCAAAAATGAAAGTTAAATTAGAGAAGCTCTGCTAACTAGTGTTGGAGAAGAATGCTTGATTCAGAATGGGAAAGCTACTCGTAAAATTAGGAAAGAGCTGGCAACTGAGTTGAGCTCAAATGTTTTACTGCACGAGTGAATCTTTGGAATGCTCTGCTTGGAACATCATCAGGAACAACCAGTGTAGGTCTGTGGAAAAAAAACCCAGCAAAACAACAGCAGCGCAAGCCCAACAAAATTGAACTTGCTGTGTGATTATTTGGAATGATCAAAGGTTGTTGTATTGCTTATGTGCATACTAATCCTGAAATTAGACAAACTGGGTTTTGTAGAAGTATTTCAGGATTTACTGTATTTTCTATGCACATGCAGCTGACATCTGAGCTCTAGCACTGTACTGGTTCAAGTGACAGACTTTAATAATTATTTTCAAATCCATTGTTTTAGTTTACTAGCAGAATCCTAAATCATCAAATGCCACCTACCTGCAACTAAAGAGAAACAGTCTTGGAAAACCTCAGCTCTAAGCCTCTGTAAATTATCTGTTATTTAGCTTTATAATTTATAGGGATATGATAAAAGTAATATTCTTAAACATAAAAAGAAGAAGAAAGACCAGAAACTCTTTTGTGCTCATTCCAGTGATTCATTACAAACATAACAGTATCATATAAAGTAAAAAAGTCCCCCCCACAGCCATTTCTTCAGGGTTCTACTTTTCCTTGCTTTTGTGCCAGTTGTAGCTTTTCAGTTGTCTGTTTAAAACAGAAGAAAATTAAAAAAAAGTTTGCCTTAGCTTGATGTGTCCGGAATAGGTTGATAAGAACATCATCTGATTTAGTAGAACTAGTTTCATGGAGCATGGTAAGTGAAATTGCTGCCTTTTCTTCAATGCAGACTGCCTTGCTCCTGGCCGGCTCAAAGGCTTGAGGCTTTGTGAGGAATTTCCAGAGTAATTTCTAGAGGTTTCTGACTGACCAGCTGTACATCTGGAAACAGCTGCAGTTTAGGGGCAGCTGCTGAAGCAGCTTACCTGAGGCAAGCAAACCCTTCCCATTATGATGTGGTTGGGACTGTAAGGCGACACAGTCCTTTGGATGGACCTTGAATATCTACATGTTGCTTCATTCTCTACTTTATAAAAGCCTGGTGCTAGCAAGGCGATTGTCTACAGAAACAGATGGCCAAAACAAAGGTTAGGCCAGAGTTTTTTGTTTCTTGGACCACACCTCATCTTTGATGACAGTACTGGAGAGAGAATATGCTTCAGTTCATTAGGAGCTCAGTGAGGCTATGTGGATAACACTGAAGTATTTTATAAGATTCAGTGTAAAGCTGCATAGTTCAAGGAAGCTCATGTCTTATTAGCTATGGCTAAGGTCAGTTATCCACACAATGAGGGGGAAACTCTTTCATAAACAAGTAGATAAATATGGTGCAGCTGGTGCTTTGCTGTGCTTTGGGCTACTGCGTTACCAAAGGAACTCACAGTCAGCTCCAGCTCTTGAAGAGTCCTTGCAGAGCATCAGCAGCTTTGTGTGGCTGGATGCAAAATTACTAGGTTGCATCATAAAAAAAGGATAAATTCAGGACAAGAGAGACAAGGGAGGATATGTGTAGAAACACAAGTCTACTTTTAGAAGAAGGTAAAATGTAAAATGTTAGAACTGAAAAGTATTTAAGCCTATGAAATTGAAACAACTAAATAAAGCATACCACTAAGCCTAATGTTTTGTGGGCTTTACTCTCAGCACAAGCTGCTACGTATTCAGTGCTTTTAGAAAATGCCAAGGTTTGTAGGTATCCATCATCTCTTGATCAATCACTGATAATGTAGAGAGAAATCTTTGAAAATTTCATTTTGGCTTTGGGACTTGCATTTTTACCCTCTGATGGAAAACAGTATTTTAAACAGCTGCAAAGGGAGAATAGCATGAAGAATTAATTGAATATGTAGTTAGGGGAAAACATTTTGTTCCTTTTTCTCCTCATTAGAAGTTACGTGCGTTCTTTATTATATCCTACGTGTTTTAATACTGTTTTAAAAGACTCATGAAACAGTGAATTTTTGAAGACACGTTATTTTATTTTCAGCTACTAAGTCCTGGAGTAAGCGAATGTGTCATTTTTTTTGGTCTGAATATGGTTTTGTGGTAGAAATGGAGGATAGTTCCTAACATCCACAGAAGAGTAAAACGTAATCCCCTTATTGTTTTGCTACACAGGCTTTGGTTGTATTTTATAGATGTTATGGAGAATCCATTAGCATTTCTTCCAAGATAGCACAAATCAGCATTTGTGCAGTTATTAATTATTGCAAATGTCTTAATTTTAGCTGAAAAGCCACCACCACAACAAAAATACACACACACACACACACACAAAACAGCAAAACCCAACAAATTAGCTCCAATTGTATTCACCCAAGTTTGTGAGACCCAAAGGACAATAGATTGACTGTTGTCCCACAGACTGCTCTATTTTATTGACCAGACTGATAAGGTTGGGCTTTGCAGGTGTTCAGTGTAGGAGGTAAGCAGCAGTATTCCTGCAAAACAGAGGTTTGTCAGGACCTCTAATTAAACAGGACGGACTGACCAACCTCTGTTGTCCTGGGAGAAAGGCAAAGTTGGGTGCTCCTGTGCTATAATGCACAGATGCTGCTGCTGCTTAGGGACATCAGGAAAGGAGATGATCTTCTTTTGGCCTCTCTGCCGAATGGATAGGGGTGGCTCATGTAGGCTGTATATGAGTTCCTCTGACATGTAGTAGTTTATGTGCATGTGCAAGTCTCCTACCATTTTACGGTGAGAGAATCATCTATTAAACTTGAGTGTGAATTACAGCAGGCAAATCCTAACTATTTACATTCATTTTCTTTCAAACAGACTTTTCATTGTGACATTTATTTAATTTAGACTTAAAGATATTTGTTCTACTCTCCTATTAACGTGGATTAAAAAAGACACAACGTACACATAAGCATACATCTCAATTTTCCCATGGAAAACGTGACTTAAATCATACATGTCTTTGTTCTTCTTTTAACTGGGGTAAGCTTTCAGCATTTATTGGAGTAACTAATTTATTGGAATTCCTAGTGCTTATGCTGAATCATTCTTGTCTGTGATTTTTCTTTGAGAGAAATATTTTTAGTACGTTATTTTTTATTCTCTCCCCTTCTCCCTTAGTCTGTTTAGCACTGTCATTGGTATTAGAGGCCCCGTGCAACTGTCTGGTAAGCAGTGTTGCTTAATGTAAAGGTCAGATAAAAACCTGCAGGAGAGAAATATTGTTTTGTTTTATGTTCCTGGT